CAGGTAGAGCCCTTGTTCCTCTCCACAGGATCTCTGAGCAGACGCAGTCATCCTCTGCCCTTGAGCTGTCCCAGCACTCCAATTCTGTGCACAGCCCATGGCTGTGTGCTGGGATAGGGGCTGAGGGAGGGGATGCTGCAGGTGACACCCTGAGTGCCATGGCAGGAGCCTCTGGGATCCCATCCCTGCTCTGCTGCCTGGGCTGCTCAGCCTGTTGTGCTGTACCAGGCTGGTTCAGAGCCATTTCCATCACTGTTCCAACACAGGAGGACAAGGAGGCTGTCTTTGATGTCGTAGACACCCTGAATGCTGTGCTCCAGGTTGCCACTGGAGTGATTTCCACCCTCCAGGTAAAGCTTCATCTTTTATGTATTGAACATGGAGCACATTCTGTAACACAGGGGACAGGGCTCCAGACTGGTTCTAAAGTGAAAATTCTTCAGTGCCTCACCCACACTGCTCATTTTGGTCCCTCTTAGAGCTAATGTGCCCCAGGAGGAGCAGATGATAGATAACATCTCCCTCTGCCCCTCCTTTCTGCAGATCAACAAGGAGAACATGGAGAAGGCACTGAGCCCTGAGATCCTGTCATCCGACCTGGCTCTCTACTTGGTTCACAAAGGAGTAAGTGCCAGAGGGAAAGCTGGAGCCGGGATTTCTTTGGATACAGAACTGCTCAGTGAGGAGCTGGGATGAGGCCCCATGGTGATGAGCAGTCAACAACCACGAAAGCTGGAAACACATCCTTTACATTCATCTCAAGCAGTGCTATCCGGGAGACTTCATAGTAATTTACACCCAAATTTCTTGATCATCATTATTCCTAAATCCTTAAATCCTCTTCCTTGATCATCATCATTATTCCTAAATCCTCCCCTCTTCCACCCCAGCACTGCCAGATTCAGCTTGCGTTGCTCTAAGGGAAAAAAGGCCAGCTGAGAAAGTAGCACATCCATTTTCCTCATGGAAAAGCAGCCCAGCTGCCTGGTCACTGAGTGCCACCTCTGCTTCCCCCTGCAGATGCCCTTCAGACAAGCCCATATCGCTGCTGGAAAGGCCGTCCACCTCGCCGAGACCAAAGGCATCACCATCAACAATCTCAGCCTGGAGGACCTGAAGAGCATCAGGTTTGTACCTCTGTTATTTCACTTCCCTGCACAGGCAGGGCTCAGCCTCCCTCATCTGCCTTCCCCAAAGTGTCTGGGCTGGGCAGCACCTCAACATCCTCCTGTCCTGAATATCCCAGCTGAAACACTGGAGAGGGACAACATCACCTCCATTCCACTCCAGCAGGGTGG